GACATCTTATCAGGAGGGACCAGTCCCTGGAGGACATCATGCTAAATGAAGTTGTGGGTCATCGAAAATGAAGAAGATCCTCTAATTGAATTGGCATTAATAGCTTAAGCTTAACATGATTTTGAAGACGGCCCTGACCTGGCAGTGCTTTGTCCTGTTGTTTATAAGGTTACTGAGTCCGAACAGACTCGATGGCACCTAACAACTGTACTGCAGTTTCAAACAAGGGAACTTAACATCCTGGATAATACCCTCCCTCACAGGAAGGACTTTTGGGTGCTAGTTACAAGAAAATTATTTCCATTTCTTCCATTACCTAGTAACTGCAGGTATGAGACACATACCCCTTTGTCTTCTAATAGATGCAAAGTTCTGAGTATAGGCTACACTCAAAGCAGTACATTAGCATCTAACTACCAAATAAAACCATTTGATATTATTTTTAAATTTCCTTTATGGTGGGTATTTGCCTGATTTCACCCTATTCCCACTATTCCTTTCTGTACTTCACTCTTTCTGACATACAACTTTATACTCCTACTTCCTGGAGGGATTTGCATTTGTAATCCCTACACTACAACTTCCAAACTGTTTTGTGAAAATTTAATTTGCATTATGAAGACAAAAGTAACAGGAGTAAAAGGGATGGGATTCTTTTTGAAGTTTTGTAATCTGGGTAAAAGTTTACAGAGCAAATTGGTTTTCCACTGAATACATTCACATTTTGTTTTGTGGCATTAAATGCAATCCTCTATCACCATACTCTTCCTACTTCCTCATGCTTACCTTGTCCATTTCCTTCTGTTCCACCCCTTCCTGACTTCTGAACTTTAACCCTGGGCAAATGCTACCCTTTTGAACTCCTATGGTTAATTATTCTAAGGAGTGCTTACCTACCTGGTGTTATTGTCCATTTTATATGCTTGTCTACTTTGATAGCGAAGTGGTTATGAATTGGGCTGTGAACCGCAAAGTCAGCAGTTCGAAACTACCAGCTGTTCCACGGAAAAAAGATGAGGCTTTTTGCTCCCGTAAAGATTTACAGCCTTGGAAACCCTGTACAGAGTCACTATGAGTCGGAACCGACTCCACAGCACATAACCACCACCTTCACCATTTGTTTTAAAGTTGAGTCATGGGGATGAGTTCAGTTCCAGACTTGAAGAGTGACCAAGAGTCAGTCTTGAAGTAAGCCTGGTCTTTTGTATGATTTTGAGCTTTATTCCACATTTTTTCCCATTCTTCCAAGAACATTTTGTGATCCATTTCCCAAATGATCAAAAGTGGTAACAACGCACCATCTAGTTCTGATCTCAGGGTCATGGGGGCTGGTATTACAGTGGTCCATTAATCCTTTGGACTAATGTGTCTTTGTTTTCCTTCACTCATCTTTGTTTCATACAGAGAAAGATCAATAGTTACACCTTAGATGGTCACTTGAATCTCTGGAAGTCACAATTCACCATGCTAGGAAGTAAAACATGCTTTTGTGGACTATGTTAAGAATACAGGATTAATAATCCTGTTTCTATCTGCTATAATAGAGGCCACAAACAAGCAGGTACCTTAATTCTAAACAGTGAATTTAGTGAGTCATACTTCATTATTTCAAGGAGCTCTGGTAGCATAGTGGTTACGAATCGGGCTGAGAACCGCAAGGTCATCAGTTCGAAACTACCAGCTGTTCCGCGGGAGAAAAATTAGGCTTTCTGCTCCCGTACAGATTTACAGCCTCGGAAACCCTGTGTAGGGTCGCTATGAGTCAGAACCGACTCCACGGCACACAACAACTACAACAACAAATCCAGCTTGCAGTCTGACTTGGGAATTTCTGCTTCTGGAAACTGGCTGCTTATAGAAAGCTCTTCAAAAGGATCCATTGAAGCTCCTCTCTAACCTATTTTTTGATATAAAGGTGACTTCAGGAAACCGTTTTCTCAAGGTTCAGGATTCATCTCAGGGTGACAGCCTGAGTAGGTCACCCCAACTCCATGAAGCACATTAATCTGGATTCCAGAATTAAAACTGCTCCATATGTTGTTGTTAAGTGTCATCAAGTTGAGTCCAACTCATAACACCACACCAGGACGCTTCCATATATATGGAACAACTTTAATATAGGGTTTCTATTAGGAGCTGTGGTAGCGTAGTGGTTACGAATCGGGCTGCGAACCGCAAGGTCAGCAGTTCAAAACTACCAGCTGTTCCACGGGAGAAAGATGAGGCTTTCTGCTCCCGTAAAGATTTACAGCCTCGGAAACCCTGGTCAGGGTCGCTATAGGTCGGAACCGACTCAACGGCATTTAACAACAACATAGTTCACAGGGGCCGCTGTGAGTTTGAACCGCTGACGTTGTAATTCAAACCAATCTTCTGGGCCAGTGCTTATCCTAAGCGCAACACTAGAATATAATTTGCTGTTAAGTGCCATTGGTAGCTGGTATGGTGCTGCAGGATAAGCACTCGACTACAAGTTCAGTTTGAACCACAAAGGTGGTGGTTCAAGTTCACCAGTCGCTCCTCAGAAACAGTATACTGGGTTGCTGTGGGTTGAAACTGACTCCACAGTACTTAACAATAATAAATCTTTGTGGGAGCAGAAACCTTCAGCCTTCTCTCAAGGAGCAGTTGGGGGCTCAATCTGCTGACCTTGTGGTTCACAGTCCAGTGTTTATCCTACAAAGCCACTGCACTCCTTTATTCATAAATCTCGTTTATTCACAGATATGAATGATATGTATGTTAATGTATATATAATTTATATATGCATATATGATTTTTGAAGTCCTGGTGTGGCGATTCAGGATAATGTGCTGGACCACAGGTCGGTTTAAACCACAAGGGCAGGGGATCAAGCTCACTAGCAACTCCTTGGAAACCTCATACAGTGTTGCTATGAGTTGAAACTGACTCAGTGGTACTCAACAATATATCATTTGTATTTCATACATAACCATGTTTTACATATGTTTTATATATATATGGGCTCTCGTAGCGTAGTGGTTAC